GGGTGCACAGGGTAAAGCATGTGACTCTCACCGCAAGTGTCAGGGTCCTCACCTGAGCCATCAGGGCACTGGGGCACACCATCACATAGCTGTCCTGGGGACACACAGTGAGGGCCACGGGTGCAGGGCACATGGTGCATCATGCAGGGTCCACCACAGCCAAGCTCATTGCTGCCATCTGCGCAGTCCTCCTCCTGGTCGTAGCGCCAGCCCCCCGGGGTGCACTCTCCACTGCCACACAGGAAATCAAAGAGGCCGCATGGGGTTGCTGCGGTGGGCTTGGGTATTAGACTCAGCTAGAGTGAGCCTGGCTCCCACAGGCCTGGCTTGCCTCAGCATTCCTTCTGGTGATGCCCTTCTATTCAGCACCTTCCCAACCCAGTTCTGCCCCTCTTGCATTCTGCTACCCTCTTGGTTTTCCACAAGCTTTTCCCTGGTCCCAGAATGTCCATTAGATTCTCCTCCGCTTATTCAAAGGGAGGCCCTGACACCAGGAAATAAGTTTAGACCCTCCAGCCCTCTCAAATGTTGGCCACTTCATTCCAGAGCCTTCAGGCCAAATGTTTCTGTTTGAGACACTCTCCCATCCCTTTCTGGCAGCTCAGGCTTCCAGCTTTCAGAGACTCACCAGGGCTGGTGCTGCCCAGCAGACTTGGTACTGCATCCAGGGAGACAGTGGAGGGGCCTTGCCTGATGCCAGCATGGGGTGTAGGGAGAGAAAGTGGAGGGCAGTGACCAGGCCCCTCATCAGCTCCATCTGGGCAGTCCCAAGCCCCATCACACAGCTGGATGGTCCCAATGCAAGTGCCATCAACACAAGACACCTCCCCAGGGATGCAGTTCACCTGCCCTGCAGTCAGAGGAAAAGAGGTGATTGTGGGGCTGCCCCTTATTCTATCTGTTTTGGGGTGTCTCCACCAAGTCACTGGCTGGTATCAACTTCACATGTGGGGACCAGGAGAGGAAAGGGTGGGTGAATCCCTTGGGAAGGAGTACCTAGTAGACTGGAGCCCAAAGCACAGGTTTCTCACCCAGACAGGACTCCTCATCTGAGGCATCTGGACAGTCTGGATGCCCATTGCACAGCGGGGCGAGTGGCAGCCAGCTGCCATCAGTGCAGGCCAGAGTGCCATGGGGACACAGGCAGCCCTGCTCATCTGTGCCATCTCCACAGTCATCCTGGCCATCACAGAACAGGGCCAGGGGCAGGCAGTGGCCAGATTGGCAAGACATCTGTCCCTCCCCACAGCGTGGGGTGGCACAACCTGGCACAAGGCAAGCAGGCAGGTTCGGGACACTGCACTGCCAAAGAAGGACTGGAAGATCCTCCCTGCTCCTCCCTCCACCCATCTACCCAAGCCATAGCTCTTGGCAGTGGAGGCGGCAGCTCAGGAAACCACCCTGGGGACAGCTGCTGCAGCCCCAGTCAACTCAGCTCCCTGGCCCATCACCGCCACTGCCACACACACTCACCCTCCTCATCTGAGCCATCGCCACAGTCGTCTTGGTTGTCACAAAGCCATTCATGTGGCACACAGTGCCCGCTCTCCCTGCATGGAGCCTCTCCCTCTGCACAGCCAGGCTCCAGCTCCTCACAAGGAGCACTGTCACCTTCACAGTGCCACTGACTTTCCTGGCACGTGCTGAGCACACAGGGTCCTGACATGAGTCATGGCTATGCTTGGTTAGACTAGGGCTACAGGCTCCTCCTGTGTCCTCTACTCACCAGTTCCCACAGTCCTTCTGCAGCACAGTCCCTGGAGGCAAGAAGCTGCTGCTCAACTTGCAGGGACAGGCAGCCAGCTGCATGCAGACTCCTCCTGAGAGCACAGAGCCCAGGACTCTCGACAAAAGGAGGCCCAGTGCCCCTGGCCCAGTCCACACCTATGGCATTTTCCCCTCCCCTCCCCTCCCCTCTGCCTGTTCTAACTACACACCATGCAGCAGTGTCCCCCTCAGGACGAAAGCAGCCCTCCACACAGGTGGCAGCCTGGCAGTGCCATCCAGGCTCAGGGTGACGATGGTGACGACACATGGGAGGGCATGTAGGGCCACAGGCTTCGTATACCTGACCTCCTTCACACTGCACAGCTGGGTGGAGAGGAGAGACACCCAATTCGCTGAGGCTTAAGGGCACCAGGAAGCAATGGCACAGGTGAGCCAGCTTCAGGTGATACAAGACCTTCACCGAGACCTTCCAAAGATGAAGCATGCCAGTCTTATGGGGCAGCCATTCCCATGGCCCATCAGGAAAAGTGTCTGGGGCTGGAGAGATGGCTCTGAGGTTAAGAACCCTGGCTGTTCTTGCAGAAGACCTGGGTTCGAATCCCAGCACCCACATGGCAGCTGACAATTGTCTATTACTCCAGTTCCAGGGGATCTGATGCCCTCTTCTGCCCTTCATGGGTATTGTGTGACACAGGTACACTTACACACAAGCAGGCAATACAATTATACACATAAAATAAATAAAAATAATAAATAAAATTTTAAAAAAGAAAAGTATCTGGCACAGGGTAAGCACTCAGCACATATTTGAACTTGAGTGAACAAACACCAGCTGGTGGAACAGAAGACGCTCCCTTCAAGGGACTGAGTGCGTAGCAGGATTGAGAAAATGCGGCACACGACAGAGCTCCTGGCTTCGCCAGTGCACGTGGTGTCTATGCCAGGCACACTCATCAGCATAGGTGGCAATGGCCGAACAGAGACACTCACAGTCATCCCCTGAGTCACAGCTATGGGAGGAAACTGTCAGTCCAGTATACCCCCACACACACCTTGGCGTGCCCACTGTGCCCAGCCTGTGGGCCTCCTCACCCACAGGCATTGTACACACACCACTCGTAGTGCTGCTGTGGGGACACCTCCATGTGACATGAGGCAAAGATTGGCTGCAGCATTACCCTGCAGCAAGCCGGGCCCAGCCTGCCTGATGGGCGTTCACCTGCAACACAGGGCGTATCTCCAGCACAGTGGGGGGGTGGGGGAGGGAGAGAAAGAGAGAGGAGAGAGAGAGAGAGAGAGAGAGAGAGAGAGAGAGAGAGAGAGAGTGCGAGTGCTCTGGCACCCCTACTTCCCTTCTGACTGTCCTGCCCATGCTCACTGTGCAGGGGTATGGCATGTCTCCTGGCTCAGGGCACAGGGGGTTGATGCTCTGGCACCCCTACTTCCCTTCTGACTGTCCTGCCCATGTTCACTGTGCAGGGGTATGGCATGTCTCCTGGCTCAGGGCACAGGGGGTTGAGGCTCCAGGAATGAGCAGCCAGCTCTGCCGTGGGTTCCAGAACTCCTTGGCGGCTCTGCAGGTCATTACTAGCATCACCATCAAAGTCTCCACACAGTCCAGCCACCAGACCATGGAAGTGGGGGGACAGCTGTACCAGGACTCGGGTGCCTGGTGGCATCATTATAGAAAATAACCCTCAGCCAGGGCAGGAAAACATGTGGGTATAATAGGCTCTGTATGGGAGTGTTCTGGTTCACTTTCTTGGGGATGACTGAGGAGACCAACATTTGGGGAGCCAAGCAGGAGCCTAACTTCCTAACTAAAACTAGGCTGAGAGAACAAAATACTGCACCAAGCAGGGTACTGAATAGGAACAGCCTCCAGAATGGGCCGAAACCCCCAGTTACTAGTGCCTTCATGGTGGGAAACTCCAGGGTAGCCCAGCTGCACAGGACCAAGTTCATGTGGGGTATTTTTGTTTCCCTCAGTTTCCCACTAACATATTTCTAAAACGCCAACTGCTTGTGTTTGGGTGGTAGGATGTTAGCAGATTTCATTTCTTCTTCCTAAAACTTGGTGGTTTCTAAATGTTTCTTGTGTGAGGCAGTAGTGCTTTCAGAATGAAGAAAACCAGAATTATGCAAACATCATTTGGAAGCTCTAATTGCTTTGAAGGGCTGTGAGTTGGGGGTGATTCCTGGGCTGTGGGGGTGGGGGCACTGGACAAAGGCTGGGAGGGTTTGGGATAGCAGACATCCTGGGCTGGCTGTCACACTGGAAATCTACCTTGAGATAACTGCCAGGGGTCAGCCCTGACCTCAGATCTGGGCAGGCACTGGGAGGAAGTGTTTTGGGGGTCCAGCCACCAGTGTTAAGGCCTGGTATGGGTTAGGTGCTTGAGAGCAGGGCCTAACCTCCATCCCAGAGCAGGGTGAGACCCAGGCGTGTTGTCAACAGCAGGAAGAGGCCAGCATGGTGCAGGCTCAGCCCTGAACCTGTGTAGACCTTGGGGGGCTTTACGCTTACCCCATTCACGGTCACTCCTCGGCCTGTGGAGGAAGAAAGGCTGTCAAATCCAGTCTGGCATGAATGGCCTCCCAGGTCCCCAGGAAGCCTCCTAGCCACTCCTCCAAACTGCCTTTTGTTTCTTTCATGTGACCTTGGGCAAGTCATTAGATTTCTCTGAGCCTTGATTCTTCAGCCTTCCAGAATTCTAGTTCCTACCAGCCCCACGAGAAGAACAAACCCAGGGAGGAGCCAATGTGGGGAACATGAGCCCTCGCGGTGCTGAGGAGCTGTGATGCTGTGCTGCTGTATCGTCGTCCCCGTTACCACCCCCGACCCCCCGCAGTGTCACAGCCATCTTTGCTAGGCCCCAGCTACCTCTGAGCATGTGCACAACAGTGCTGTCCAGGCGCACAGCCAGTGCCTTGGCGCAGGTGAGGCCGGTGGCCCCACAGGGCAGGTTCTGGGCGGAGACACTGAAGCGGCCACTAGCTTCTCTAAGGAGCAGGTACTCGCAGGCCCCAGAGAAGGCGAAGGCCAGCCCATCAAAGGTCACATAGTGGGGGGAGGCGCCAGATGCTTGGCACCATCCACTGCACCGCTGGCCAGTGTAGTGCCATTGCCGGCCCTGACATACACTGTGGGCAAAAGACAGGGACAGACTCACTGAGGACAAGGACATTTCAGATAGACCCTCAAGGGATCCTGGAGGGCTCCCAGTTTCCAGGCCATACTGGGTATCCCTCTCTCCCTAGAAGTCCAGCCTCTTCTCGTGGAGAGAAAGGTATGGTGAGTCAGGGGTCACAAGGTCAGAGGGTAATAGGCCACTGGAACTGAGCATACCAAATGTTGCGGTCTTCTTGGATGGAGGCATTGGGCGGGTACCACTGTCCGCTATGGCAGCAGGGACAGACATCAGGAGGCACACAGTGCTCATCCTGGGCAGAGGATAAGGGCACTCTTTTGGACAGCTAGGGAGCAGGGCAGGCTCCTTGTATGGGGAGGACCACCTTGCTGCCCCATGGAGTCCCTTTCCCAGCCTCACCAGCCTCACCAACAGTACGCTGCCAGGGGGACAGACACACTGTTTCCTGCCAGACAGGAGTGGTTGGCACTGGGGCTGTTACAGGTGAGAAGGCAGGCACCAGGGGCATAGATGAGCTCTCCGGGGCAGAGTGCCTGCTATGGGGAGCAGCTGTGGGTAGTGCAGTTCCAGAGGCCCCGTTTCTGGCAGACACTGTAGAGGAAGGGAAGGAAGAAGAGCCAGGCCCAGCATAGATGCAGCTGATGATCTTAGCCCCCAGTCTGCCTCAGTAAGTCTCAGGAACCTAGACACCCAGAACCCCTTCAGGCATCTGGATCCCCTAATACCTAGTGGAAACCCATCCCTGATACTAGAGGCCCTGATACTGGAGCTCAACGTCCAACTCCCAACCCCCAGCATAAAGAACAGGCTGTTCAGGAAGCTCCTATGCCTGGAATACACAGTTTCCTTCTGCCCAGCACCAGTGGGACTATTCATGATGCTCTGAAATGGGGCAGAGACATTGGATTACCTAATGCCTGGGTCAATCATGTCAGTTTGATGGGATCTAGAATCACCTAGGAGACAAATCTCTAGGCCTATCTGTAAAGGGTTTTCTAGATTAGATTAACTGAGGTAGGAAGACCCATACTAGGTATAGGTTAGCAGCACTTCTCCATAGGCTGAGGTCCTAGACTGAATTAAAAAAGAGAAAGCAAGCTGAGTACCAGCATGCATCTCTCTCCTGACTGTGGATACAATGTGACCAACCACCTCCTGTTCCTGCAACCACAACCTTCCCACCATGATGGACTGTAACTCCTCCAACTGTGAGCCAAAATAAACTCTTCTGCCCTTAGCTGTTTCTTGTCAGGTATCTGGTCTCACTAACAAGAAAAGTAATCAAGACATTTATCCCTAGCCAAGGCAGGAGAGCCCACTGAAGTCTGGCTCTTATCCAGAAAACCCTGAAGCCTAACCCAGCCTCCTTAGTTTCTGATCTCAGTAACAAAATGTCTGGCTATCTAAGCCTCAGTTTCCTCATCTACCAAGTAGGAATGGCTCGTCACCTCCACACTTCACTAGGTTGTGGTCAGAAAGTAAAACCAATGGAGACTGGACATAAAAGAGCTTCCTGGAGGTGACGGTGCTCCAGCATGGGGAAGAAGTGACAGCGCCCTGCCATCCCAGGCAGCCCACTGTGATCATGCAGCAGCACAGCCAGGCCATTCTCTCCCGAGCCCTTCCTTTTTGCCCAAAGGTGGCAGTTCTTACCAGCACTTGCAGTCTTTCTTGATGGCAGTGCCAAAGGTATAACAATGGGCGCCAAGCCGGCAAGGGCACATGCTGGGCGGTACACACTGGCCTTCAGGGTTCCACAGCAGTCCCAGGGGACAGTTACAACCGGCCACACAACTGCCAAGCTCCTTACAATCCTCCATCTCCCCACAATGGTGACCACATACTGAGGCACACTCTTGGTACTCTTGGCCACCAGGACACAGGACAGCTGGACACAGGGGCATTGCAAATCAGAGGCATAGCCACCCTGTCTGGACCTCCAGTCCCTGTGCTTCTACAGGAGAAAGTCCAGGAATAATCCAGCAAAAGAGGAGTTCCTGCCCCCAACCCAGCTCCTTCTAGCAGGGGGTTGGGAGGGCGAGGGGAGGAGCCTGGGGTAGAGCTGGCTGAGCTGAAAGACTCACGACACAGTGTCTGGTTTCTCCAGGGCAGCAGGGCACCCTCCAGGGCACAGTGGCGTGTATAGGCAGTCCCTATCAGGGGCACAGCCACACACAGCTGCCAAACACCACAACCTAAATGGCTCCCTGTCCACTAGCCCATGGCATTCCTTGCGGAGAGAAGAAAAGCAGTTGTTCTTTCTTTGAGGATCTTATTCTCTTGGGTGCCCATTGCTGCCTCCCTGTGTTCTGAGACTCTGTCTTGCATTTGGTCCCTTGATCTTATAGGCAGAGGAGGTCAACCTCGTACCTGGAAGGTGGGGCCATTCAGAATGGCACAGGATGACTCTGCGAAAGCGAGGCGCTGGGAGTGAGTGCTGCAGGGGGAGAGAGGGGCACTGTCCACTGAGGGGCACTTTCCATCTCTTGACAGCTGGAACTTGCTGGCAAAGGCAGGGACGCTGGTCTCTATGTCCCCAGCTGGAGTCAAGAAGGCATCCTGCTGGTTCCAGGTGAAGGTGCCACATAGACCCTGTACCTGAGCCATAGAAGACACATGAGACAGTGAAATCTAGTCTTCTGCAGCTTTGTCCAGGCCCTCACAGGCCTCCTAACACACCTGATGGGCATGGTGGGAGTCCAAGGTGATGTAGGCTGCAGGGTCAGTCACTCCCCAGAGAACCCAGGCCCCAGGCCAGCGCAGTAGCAGGAAGGTAGAGGAGGCTTGGGAGATGCTGACACCCTCAGCACCAATCCAGGGCAAGCCAACATCCTGTCCATCCACCAGCACAGATCCTAGAAGAGGGGCCTGACCATGGTGTGGGGCACCTGTGGGAGGGTGGGCCTGCAAGAGGGGAAGGACTTGTTAGGGAAATGGGAGGGCTTGTGTCAGGGTGGGCTGTGGAGGCAATTTGAGTGATCCCTGGAGGACGCCTGTCCCACTGGAGACCTCCCTTCCACAGGGTAAGAACCCATGTCACCACTCATTTTGGCATATCCGTTTTCTTTTGCGGTCAGTGTGTAGGAGGGGCTGGGAACAGAGAGAGAGCCAGCAGCAGGCTTGGGCGTGGCACAGCTGGAAGGACGGTTACTGAGAGGAGCTGGCCAAAGTCTCTCCAACTCTCACAACTGCATGATATCTATTTATCCTGAAGCCTAGGCAGAAGATCTCTTGAAAAAATATCTTTGGGATAGTGTGGCTGCCCCTGAGATGGGAGTGTGGGGACATGTACATAGTGAGTTCAACTGCAGGAATCTGTGGGGGGTGGCAGTTATTGGACTCCAAAGTGTAGGGTAGTGTGGAGGGCAGGTGCTGGGTGGTGCCTGAATCTACAGGGAGCAGACAAAAGGCCTGGCAAGCATCCTAGGATGTAGACTGCAGTGTTGGCCACTCCCCAAAGAACCGAGGCCCCAGGACAGGAAGAGGAGACAGAACTGTGAGTACCTGAGTCCCTGAGCTGGATGTGAGTGTCCCCAAGGGACACAGAGAGGGCATGGAGGCAGCTCCCAGAGTCGCAGACCCCATGCTCCAGTGCAACCAGCAGCTGGCCTTTCACAGAGTCCTGAGGCAGACAGAGTAAGGTGTGTGTAGAGAGGTAGACACTCAGGATCCATGAAGAGGCCTCTGTGATTCCTTCAGCTCCCATCCCAAGCGGGTGCTAAAGCACCTTCTAGTCAGCTAGACTCTATGAGGCAAGGAGCTTACCCTCACATGGGATCGGTATGTATGGATGTCTGTGTGTATGTGAGTGCGCGCTGGGAGATTTGTATGACATGTGTGAACATGTTGGAGTGGGAAAATTCCTCTCTCCTCCCCATGGGTATGTGTGTTCCCTAAATATGTACATACCATATGTACATACTATGTGTACACACTTGCTGAATCTCCATACATATACGTGATTGTGTGCATGCTAACTTTTGTCAGTTTGAGAGTGTATGCATGCAGTCTCTGTGCTAGCTTGTAGCTTCTGTGTATGTAGACTTCATACATGTTTAGCCATGTATCTGGGGAAAGAGCTTCACTGGATAACACATCAGCTTCTTTGGGGCTCTATACCCCCCTGATTTCCTCACCCATCACTACCCACGTGAAGATGGGCAGGTAAAGGAACAGCAGTGGTCCAACACAGAGGTGGAGATCACTGTTGCACCCCCAGAACGGAAGGAAGATGGCCTGTGCTTAACTTGGGAAGGAGCAACTTTACTGGGGGAGGCCCCTTCTTTGTCCTGGTGGTCTTGCACCAAGCAGCCTATGGCAAGGCCAGTGTGTCACACCTGTGAGAGGGATGCGTAAAGATCTGTAAAGATGTGCTTTGTTCTGCAGCCCTAAGCTAGGGTGGCCATGACAGTGGGTTTTCACGGAGTCTGAGGAAGGATGGGAACTGGAAAGGATGCTTGGGTGGTGCACGTGACCATTCCCACCAGCAAAGCTGTCTTGCCTTTCCTTGCAAGGGCTGTGTACTCTGCCTCCCTTTAATGCTTTGTTTAAAGTCCTCTCCCCTAACCAGGACACTTCTGTGAAGGCCCCCACCCTCACAAGGTCCCCTTCCTGGAGTTGGCTCTCTGCCCACCTGCACCAGGCTGTAGCGGCAGCCTGGACCGCCCCGGAAGGAGAAGCTCCGCCTGTCAAAAGTGAAGTAATGCCCGTCACCGCCCACCGCACACTCAGCGGGGCACAGAGCCTGGGCCCATTGCCAGCCGCCATCCCTGCACACACTGTGGGCATAGGAGGTGGTACAATGCACTGTGGCACCAGTCCCACCACAGGGTGTGGAGGCTCAACTGGAGACAACATACCCCCAACACCTGGGTTCTTCCCTCCCCTGGTATACCCGCCACCACTGGCGCTGGGCAGAGCCATCAGTCATACCAGAAGAGGTCACAGGTCACTGACTAGGACACCCAGAATAGGCTGCTTATTTGGAGTAGGCAGATGTCAAAGAAAGGGTATAAACGGATGTATCAGAGGGAACTAAATGGCCCAGCGAGACCCCAGACCCACCACAGGTTGCACTGCTGGTATACAGCATCACCAGGGGCATAGCACTGGTGCCAGTAGTAGCAGGGACAGTGGGCAGCAGGCACACAGAGGGCACCATCCCAGAAGAAGCCAGGTGGACACTTACAGCCACTCACACATTCTTCCCCACAAGACCCCTCCTCTCCCTGGGTCACGGCTGAGCAGCGAGGTGGGCAGGATGATACACAATCATAGTAGAGCTGGCCCCCTGGGCACAGGTGCTCTGTAGGAACAAGAGTGGTCCATTAGGGTCTGGCCCTGAAGAGCAGTAGGGCATGGGAGCCAGCCAGGAGGGCACTGAGGGGGCCCTCAGGAAACATAGGCCACTCAGGGCCCTTGGTGAGTTTGGGGTGGGCAGACCCAACATACCACAGAAGCCAGGCTTCCTCCAGCTCACATAGATGCGCCGCCTGGCACAGGCATGGGCATAGTTGGCAAAGGTGGCACACACAGCCTCCTGCCGCCCCTCTGGGCCACTGCCTGCCACAGCCCCCACACAGTAGGCAAAAAGGCAAGTCTCGTGGTACTCATCTGAGGGAACCTGTAGGGAAGGGTCATCCTCAGCCAGCAAATGCCTTTCCTCACCGGTACCTCCTGCTTCCCTCACATCCTGACTTGTAGCCAAACAGAATGAGTACTGGAAGGGCGCTCAGTGCCACATGGAGGAGCCTCCTGCTCCCAAGGGTAAAACAAAAGACAAGGAAAGGGGCAGCTTGAATGATGGCCCAACGCCACCTAGTGGCAGGACCAGATCACCCAACAGGCACCACTCTAGCACCCACTACACCCCACTGGACCCTCCCCTCCAGAGCTGGTCACCACCTCATCCCTGCCTACCTGGGCATAACATTGCCAGAACGGACCCTCCAGCAACTGGTGGCACACATCTTGGGCTTCAGCCTGCAGCTGGCTAATCTCCCAACCTGTCTCTGTGCCCTCCAGGAGGCCCTCACAGCCCTAAGCCACCTCCACTGCATCTAGACACCCAGGCTGGGAAGACAGAGCCAGGCCAGACAGCAGTGATGAGGGACATTAGCCAGGACACCAGGTCAGCAAGTACTGCCCTCATAATTGCTTCAAGGCCCCACTGTCATGTTCACCAAACCACATTCTGAGCTGTAGATGGCAGCAAAGTGACAAGACCAGGTGGGTGGGGAGAGAAGCCAGGGTCACAGCCCAGGCAGAACTGGTTAGTAGCCGGGTCAATGAGGACCTGGGATGGTCAGTGCACAGCAGCTGCCAGGCTTTCTATGGGATCCCAGATCTATGTGCTCTCCCATGGAGGACCCCAGGAAGAACAGTGGGCTGGCAGGAGGCTGTCCAGGCTGCAGTCTCACCTCATAGCCAGGGAGCCTCCAGGAATTCCCGAAGGTGGCAGCTAGCACAGCCTGTCCTCTGCCTGGCTCCACAAAGTCATCTGAGGAGAGTTAACGCCAGAGTTAAACCTAGGCCTTCCCTCCCTACACCAGCCACACCCAAGCCACACCTCACATACCCTCTGGCCGGCCATTGTAAAGCCCACAGAGGCCCTGCGTCTGTCCCCAGAGCTCATGGTCCACAGAGATAGAGATGGAACTGGACTTGTCCAGTCTCACAACAACTCCCACACTCCCAGAGAGCACCAGCCAGTCCCCCTGCCACTGTAGGCTCAGCCCTGGGGAAAGGATGGGGTCATTCAGCTTCCTGGGGCCACATTCTCATGTCATCAAAACAGGATCTAAACTGCCTAGGGAAGGAACCGGCACAACTCTCTAGAGCTCTGCGCTGTGATTTTCCTCCGGCAGCTGACATCTTGAGAAGATAGCAATAGACACGTACTATACACTGTGGGAATGCATGCACACAATACATATTCCATGCACATACCACACATGCCTTACACACATACTACACACACTATATACATACCTCACATACATCCACACCACATATACACATGGAACATATACACCATATACGTGGTCCACTCAAATCACATATACACACAACACACATACTGTATACACATTCCATGCATCACATACATCCACAACCCACACACCACACACATATACCACACACACTGTAGTCACAGATCACACAGCACACATACATACACACCACACTACTACTCAGACTATACGCGCACACTATACATACATATCACTGCCCCCCCATACACTGTACAGAAAAATACACACTTTACCCTACCCTCTTATCCCAGCTATGGTGATACTCCCCTGAGGTAGGTGGAGAAACTGAGGCTCAGGGAGGTTAAGCAGAATGTCTTGCCAAAGTCAGAGTTGGAGGCTGTAGGAGTGGGAGGGCAGGCTCGTGCCCTCCTGACCCCTCATTTCTAAAACCCTTCCAGCAGCACTGAGGGGGAGGCAGCACCTCTGTCCTAGCCTGCCCCTCTGCCCTCAGGAGTGAGCAGACCATCCCAGGGGAGGGAAGGGGCCCTCACCATGGAGCAGCCAAGGTGCCCTATCAGGTATTGGCTGGCCCTTCACAGAGACCTCTCCATCTTGGATCAGTACCTCCTCCGGGCCCATTGTCACCAGGACCTGGGAGAGAGCAGTGGACCAGGTCTACAACTCTCTCCATTTCCAGACCCGTCCCTGGGGCCATCTGTCATCTCTCTCCCTCCCTCACCAGCCAACAGGGCCCAGGCTGGGGACACTGTCCCCTGGGCCTGAAGTGGACAGCCCAGGTGGAATCCACAGCGCCTGCCAGCAAGCAGGTGCATCAGCCCAGGAAGTGGTAGTGACGCCCATCAAAGGTGCGGTAGTGGAAGCCTGACCAGGTAGCACACGTGGCTGAGGGACGCTGGCGCTGGCTCCAGAGCTGGCCCACGGCCCCTGCCTGGGGCTGCAGGAGGGCTACAGAGGAAGCATTGCCTGGGCAAGACACATCATGTGTAAGCTTCTGAGTGTAGGGACAGAGGGCTGAGGGAGTACACAGGTCTTGGCCCAGCAGGAGGTATGAGGACAGGACAGGGTTCCCCTGGAAAGCAGGGGAGTGGGCAGAAAGGTCCAGAGCTCCTGGGAGTGGAGGTGAGGGCTGGATATGCCTATTTCCAGGCTGGAGCCTGCAGACCCACCTGGGAGGTGCTGGCCAGAACAGCTGTGTCCCCAGGGTTGGGCACAGCACTTTTCCAGGCTTCTTGCTGAAGAATTGGCTGAGCCTGCCAGGGGCTGGCACTGCCATGTGACAAAGCAGTGGCCTTTGGGCCTGGCATCAGTAAGGGCTGTGGTGGGTGGAGAGAATGGGGCACACCCAGCCTGTCAGCATAAGGATGGCCTGAAGCACTATGTTTCCAGGCAGTCTGCCACCTTCCCGACACCAAAGATAGACTCCCCTTCCCAGCCGGTACCCCGGAAGGCATTGCTCACCAACCTACTGGGGTACTTACCATCTGTACAGTGGGTGCCCCACTGTCCGGTTCCATGTGGTAGGCCGTGTTTCTGGGGGTCTGTACTCACCAGATAGGAGGAAGTAGGTAGAAATGTTAGTATTCAGCCAAGTCTAACCATGAGGTAAGACCTGGGACCTAAGGTTTGGTAAACTACTCTGAGGGGTCCTATCAAGTAATTGCCACCTCCTGGCCTTAATTTCCCCAAGTGCAAAGAAATAATGAAGTTGGGAGGCACATGGGGTAGAGGGTGCAAGCGTCCCACCTCACCCTGTCATACTGTACCCACCACGGCCCTGTCTGTCATCCATCTACACCATCTCTCTCCACCCTTCCCTGAGCCCAGCCAGAACCTGCTTCCCAAATGCCGGCTGCACCAGTTCCTCCCAGTCCTCCCCCACTCTCAGGATGTCCTGCCATCGTCACTCTTTCCTTTCCTGGCCAGCAGACGGCCCAGGTTCTGACCCTCACTCACTTGTAGATGGCACAGAGCCCAGGTGCTGGGGGCCTGATGAGCCCAGCACGGCCACTCCAGGGCCAGTCCAGCCGCCACCCTAGGTGGCTGCAATGATACAAGCTGGTGCACAGTACCAGGTCCTCCTGTCGAGGGGCTATTTCCTCGTCCACGTGGATGATCTCTGTCCGTTCACACCACCACCTGCCCAGGAATAGGGGACCATAGCTATTGGCGTGGTCCTTTTTATTCCCAACTGACTGCGTTGTAATTCTAGGACCCTAAGGGCTGCCAGAGGAGGTCCCTGAAGAAGTAGGAAACTAAGGTTGGAGATAAACTAAGAAGAGAGTCTGGCATCCCAGAGGGTTCCCAGGCATGGACAGGAAGGAGAAACCTAGTGGAGAAGTCCCCATGGGCTGCTTACCCATTAGCAAGTACCCATAGCGTCCCAAAGAGGAAAGCAGGGAGCAGCATAGTGCCCTCCATCCTAGGCTGCCGTTGTGGGGAGCCAAGGCTTGGACTTGGGCCATGCTGCTGCAGGAGACCAGATAGACAGCACTGATCCCTGGCCCCACATTGAGGTCTGATGCAGCCTGGAGAGGCTATTCCTACTGGGGAGGTTTTATGCCAGTCTCATGCCCCTGGGCACCAGCTGCCCAGAACTGGATTGGACCTGCCTGCATCATCCCTTCTCTCCCTAGAAACAGGCCCCTTCACACCACTCCCAGGGATGTGTGTGTGTGTGTGTGTGTGTGTGTGTGAAGGTGACCACAGCTAGATGTTATGAGCCCCCAGCTTTTCCACATTCTCAAGCATTACCACAAATTACTGTGGGAGTATGGTCAAGACACCTTCCCCTTCTGGGTGTCTGCTTCCTTATCAGTAGAAATTTCAGGGACTTCCCAAGGGTGCACAGGTGGAACTAGGAGACTCTATAAGCTCTTTGAAATTGTAACTGCACACACTTTCCTGAGGACTTTTAGATAACTTTTATTAAACTCTCAAGGTGGAGGATGGCCTCCACAAAAAGACTGAGTTACCAAGTTCAATAACTGGCATGGTCTTCTAGCCCTTAAAAACTGACTTTACTGAAGTATTCCTTGCCTCTCTCCTGTTCCCGCTCAGGCCCGATGCTCAGGAAGTGAGCACAGAGCGGCTGGAGCACCTGAGTATGTAGAGACAAGTAGACATAGTGAACCCTTTCCTCAGTGTGGTCTGACTTCTCAGGTGATTGTGTGGCTGGTTGTGGTCACCTGGCCTCCTGTCGGATTTCCTAGGGTCCGAGGACACCCCCAAACTGAAAGGATCCAGGAAGGAGTATCCAAGTGGAAATAGGGGTAGGACAGGGCCGGGAGCCTGCTAGCCCTGTCCTGTCCTGGGAGCTGACCTGAGCCGGATGGAATAATCCCAGTGTCCGGTTGAGAGGGGGCAGCTGCAGGCTCCACAGGGGAATCCTGGTTACATCCTGGTTACCAGCAGAGCTCCAAGGACACCCAATGGAATGTGGGCTGGACCTAAGACTGTACCCACTCATTTTGTAAGCCCCATGTCCCATTGAGTATCCTGAAGGGTCACCAACCCCTGGCCTGGATAGTCCTTCTGGGCCTACCACTGGGCCTGGAGAGAAAAGAGGGTCCAATGTGAGTCCCTCCAGAAACTCATGGATGGCTAGGGTTAGTGCTCCAGCCAAGGAGTCCTGGGACAGGTCTAGGGTCTCCCAAGAACACTATGTCCCCCTAGCTTCTCTCACATACTCATCTGGACATGCGCCCTCATGTCCTAACAGGAACAACACCCCCTCCCTGCAGTTTCTGAACACACACACACACACACACACACACACACACACACACACACAGGGACACACTCTGCCCCTAAGGCCACCTGCAATCAGTGAGCATCCAGGTGTTAGGAAAGCCTTTGCAGCTCAGTCAGAGGACCTCCTGCTCCTTCGGCCCACCGCCCCAGTCCTTTCACTCTAACCATCACATCCTGTAAGGCCAGCCTGGGTCACTGTGTCCTGGTTCCACAGGTGTCACCATCCTTGTGATAGGGTGCCACAGCCAGAGACGCTTTCCTGTCCACAAGGGGCATTCACTGGCCTCCCCTTCTCAGATTCACTCCCAACTCTTGACTGCAACTTGGCTGACAAGAGAAGCTTGGACTGGAAAGAAATGCAACTTGTAGCTGCCTTTTCCCCTACCGGGGCAAGAGGAAGTGGGAACCCAGGGGAGTTCCCAGAAAGATCAGGGGGCTAGGAGGAAGCATGGATTTCAGCTCCCAGACAGGAAAGGGCACCTCAGGAGTGGAGGCGGGTAGACAAGACCCAGGAACGTGTATGGTGCTTAACGGGAAGGGGTGGGGGATGGGGGGGTAGGGGAGAGCTATACAAGGAATGAAGGCAGCCCTTACACCTAAGTCCAAGAGGTTCTCGGACCTGACGACCCCCT